TTTGTAAAACTTTGATTGCAGACTTCTATCTTTGGGGGTCATGAATAATCTGCACAAAAAACACTAAACTATGAATAATATCTTACTTTATATTCTTTTTATCAGCATTTTAAAGATTTATCCCTGTATATTCCGATGCATACCTTGGCTGCCTATTTTGGACAAACCCTCTTGAAGGATCTTGATTTGAAAAATTTCAATCTACTGTACCTTTGATGGCTCCTCATCGGTTCTCAATCAGAAGATTTTTAAAAATACCATTTAGTTTTCGCTAATTACTTATATTTCAACTTCGAAGAATTCCTATCACTCATTGATATTTACCGTAAGTTTGATATTTTTTTAATTGGTAAATTGAATCTTGAGAATTCTATGATGTGCAAAGTCTACAGATGGACGCCGAACAAAATTCTGATCAGAAAAGCTCACTAAATATAATAAAAAGAAGAAACCCGAAATACTATCTTAATGTTGCATCATAACTGTCCCTTTGTATTACACACATGTAAGCTAATAATTTACAGGTTACATGCATTGATTTTATAGGGGCTAAAAAAAACTGTTTTATAAATTCTTACCTTGAGCAGTATGATCAAATATCCGATCATACATCCTGGAAAAAAGTGAATTCAGAAGCTAAGTAACCGGGGGTTTTTATCTTCTCTGCTTCCTGTTTAACATGGCTCATAAGAGGAGTAAAAATATTATTTTAGAATTGAATAATTCTAAGTTTGAATCTGATGTCATTTGTGCGAGGAATTTTTTTGAAGAAGATTTATCACCTTACTAATTATGTATGAGAAGCAAAATTATACATAAAAATGACATATTTAATTAAATTTACCCTATTTAAAACTTTTTAAAAAAACAAAGAAATTCATGTAAACAAACAGAGAAGAATCTTCCACAAATTTACAATGTAATTAAAATTTAATTGTTCATTCTACATTTACATCATACAACCTTTTCTTTCAGTGTCTGATATCCTTTATTTTGTTAACATATGCATTCACATTATAAGTAATATGAATTAAGATTATCTCCCATAATAATGCCAAAAATGTTCAATTTACGGCGCAAGATTATTTGCACACTGTTTGGGTGAATTTCTACTTTTTTCAACTTGGGTAAATCATCTATACCTTTCACCCCCTTCTTCCAGAGACATATTCTTAAACGTACCACTTTGTATATTGTATCCTCCTCTCAACATTAGAAGTCTACAGGCGAAACACTGGTTTGATTTGAATTGTCTGAGGGGTTGCAGAAAATTCTAATTCAAGCAAGATATCGCTTGTAGAGACGACTATATAGGGTTGTTAAGTATATAAAATATACAGATTAATGATTTATTTCAAAATTTGTTTCGAATTATGCAGGGAAAGAGAGAAGATTTACCAATGTCGGAAAGTGAAAAATTCTCCAAAAATTTTCGCAAATATTCTTGCGCCGTAAATTGTAAATTTTTTTTGCATTACTGGATATGTAGCATTATGGTCAAATACTAAATATATAGAACCATACCACTACAGCTCTGCAGCTAGTTCCAGGTATCATTTATTTGTTGCTACTTAAGTAATATCCCTGTTGCTACAATCAATTTTCATTTAGAGTAAGATACGATGAATTGATTTGTGCAACAAAAAAACTTTCATTAATTTTGTTAATTACTTGAACGGAAATTGATCTGTCAAACAGGTGATTCACATTTATTTGTCTTTATCGTGCGTTATCCAGTTAACCATTGTTATTTTTGAAAGAAAGGTGGAGCAACCTTCAGGACATTTGCAGTATAGCGTGATTTTTTTTTTTTGTATTTTTACATGGAGTTGAAATGTTCCAATTCTCAAAAGAACTGTTTGCAATTTTTTTAAAGTTTGTATATTGTGTTGAAACATCTAGAACATATGTCTAGTATTTTTCATACACTGTAGATTTTTATTAGAATCCCCAAGAAATCATGTCAATTTATATCTTTTCAACCACCCTGGTATTGCATATCTCCTTAAAAAGAATTGACAACTTGCCTGAAAACACCTTCACAAGCAAAAAAAGCATTCGGAAAAAAAAAACACTATTCCTTTTGAAACCTAAATTATGTATGCATTACTGAAATCGATATTACAACAAAAAGTGTCGGGGGGGGGGGGGGGGGGGCTACCAGTCTATCAATAAACATTTACAATAGATAAAGGTTTTGGTTTGATCTGTTATTATAATACCTGATCAAACACTCCTCGCGAATTTAATGTCATTATATGCTTAGTTTTCAACTAGAAACTTAACCTAACTTAGAATAAGTCCAATTTGTTCTGATGCAATCAAACCTTAATTTAGACAGCATTAACTTTTTTTCTACATTGAGTATTAGAAATAAAAATTGCTACGATAAATTATTGCGCACTAAGTTGGTCAAATGTCCAGTTCTTTTTATGTAAACTATTTTTAATTTCTTACCAATTTATTATTCAATTTGTAAAGCAAATGTATCAAGCATTTGATTATTTTTAAAGAAAAAAGATGTCAAATAATTTTACCACGAAAAACTTTTTTTAAAAAATTTCCCTGTAAATAAATCCACTTCTGTTGTTTTCCGAGTAATATTATTAGAATACATACTAAAACATCTTAACATTAATCAGGAAGTCAGGATTTTATTTTAAAGGTCAACTGAAAAGATCACCCACTTTCATTTAATTTACCCCTTATTATCTTCAAATAAATAATAGAATTCAGACTACTTTACTTATTCGGTTATATCTGAATGCATTACCGAAATATTTACGGTAAAAGTTGTCACACCTGAAATCTGACCTAAAATTGCGTGCGAGTTATGCCCCTTGACACGAACCCGCCATATTGAAACTATCGACGCTGAAACGTCACGATACAGACGATGGGAGATTGAAACATAAAATATGGTGTTGTGTGCTGCGCCAAACTGTGATATCCGATATGGACAGGGTGTATCAATGTTTTCTTTCCCGACGATCCCAAATTATGCCATATTTGGGTAAGAAAGTTCAAAACTGTTGATTACTGGCCATCAAAACACTCAAAGCTTTGCGAGCGACATTTTACCCCCGACTGTTTTGTTATTGAGCCTTCAAGAGCGCGATGCATGGGGTACAGTCGACTTCAGTTAAAAAAAGATGCCACACCTAGCATCTTCGACTACAGACCATTGAATACTAAAGGCCATAAAAGGAAAACAGCAGATGTAGATGTTTCATATGTACCAAAACAAGGTCGGACATCGAATGCTCTGGAGAAAAGACGTGCAGTTGCAGTAAGTTTTTTTTTAAAGTTTACAAATGGATTTACAAAAATTTCAATGCGTCCATAATTGTTAAGATTAGTTTTAATAAAGATTAGGTTGGTCCATCATATATTGTACTTTAAATTACGAGGTTATCTTTAAAACTGCATGAATATTAGCCATATTAGGCCTAGCCTTTGTATGGGCTATAACGTTACGTGTACTGAAAAATAAATCACTATGCTAAACTTTAATTATATCTTAAATCTTATACAGACTCAGAACCTTAAGGAATTTCCACCCTCACAATTTTATAGGTTCAAAGTAAAAAAAACTGCATATATTTTCATTCAATATACTTTTTTAAACTTCCCATTTATTATTGCAAAAAATGTATAGGTCACCATATAAATTACGATCCAAAACATAAATAAACAGAAGTGTATGTCAACATAAAAAAATTGTACATTTTTTGTTAAAAGTATTGAGAAAAATATGTAAAAACTGGTAAATATGCATAATTCTATGTGATTTTTCTAACTTCCACTTAAAAGATACTTTTGAAATGTGAATATCAGGTAAACATTTTAAAAAAACAAATGCCTGAATGAAAGATTTAGAAGGAGTTATTGCCCTTGTAAACATTATTTAAAGATTGAATAATTATTAAAATAGAAAATATGCATTTTTTGAATTCTTTAACTAAACAATATTTATCATTACACCTATTGTAAAGCATTCTTCCAAGAGATATTTAATTTCTCTATAAGGTACGAATTTAAACTAATTACAGTTTTTGCAAAAACCTATGACATCATAGGAGGGGGGAATTACCTTAACGAAGATATAGAGATTTTTTTTCCCCCTCCTAGCCAGTTTCAGGACAGTCCAGAATCAAAACACAGAAGCTAGCTGTAAAAACCCCCAATGACTTTTGAAATGTCTTCACAAACTACTTATGGTTTGGGTGGTGTTTTGTTACATTTATTGATTTGCCACTTGATTGACATAGAACATTTTGAATTTATCAAGTTATTTCAATTTTCTAATTAAATAATTATTTTCACTTGTAAATGTCTTATTTTGATTTTACTTCATGAATTTTAGAAACGCAGGCATGTCTTATCAGACAGAGATTCAACCCAGTACAAAATCCTGTGGTACACAAACTGAAACACTGCTTACATTGGATGCACCTGAGGACCTTGATGAGAGCATTGAGTCACTGGTCAGCACAGATTCTGAAGCTTCAGAGTGGAGTCCACCTGATATTGATGAAAACAATAACACAGATCATCATGATGTTCCTCCAAGTCACTGTAGCAGAAAATTTATTGTGTTTGAAGAATGTTTAGACCAGCTTCTCCAGATTTGTACAATGTGCGGACAGAAGTGTGACGTTAAGAAAACCATAGTTGGAACTCTGTTGTTTGTGTCAGGGTATGTGCCTGTGGGGAGACTTTCACATGGGGATCCCAACCCTTGACTGGATCAATTTACTGGAAACTTGATTTTGGCAGCAGCAATTTTGATTAGTGGCAGCAGTATAAATCAAAGTTTGACCATGTTTCAACATGCCAATATATCCTGTTTCTCAGAGAGAACCTATCACAACACCCAACAGCATTATCTTGTACCAGCTGTTGAAAAGGTTTGGAAAGCACATCTAGATGCAATATTTGATGTAATAAGACAACAAAATGTAGCTGTAGTTGTGGGGGGGAGATGCTTGATGCTGTTCACCAGGACACACGGCTAAATATGGATCATATAGTTTGATGGACCTGGAGCTGAGACAGATACTTGATGTTCAACTAGTTCAGGTAAAAAGAGTGCAGAACCACTGTTTGTTATATTTTACTTTACTGCACTTGCATGCATATATTACTTCAACATTCAGCACTGAATATGTTATGTTTAAAATGTGTTAACATGGTTGAGTTCTCAAAACAATATATGCTTAACTTTTATAGAGCAATGAAGTCAAAAGTTCATATTGGATGGAAATGGAGGGTTTGACAAGGTGCCTTAAGAGAGTGGAAGAGGAGGGTATAGTTATTAGTGACCTCGTTACTGACAGACATCCTCAGATTAAAGCTTACATGAAAAAAGAAAAAAGTGATATCAACCATTGGTTTGATATGTGGCATATGGCCAAAGGTAAACTTAGTTTACATGATACACTATTGTTTTATACAATCTAAAATGCATTGGGTATTCCTCATTAAAATTACTTAACTGAATAGCTATATATAATTATCATTTAATAATTGATTTGTGTTTTGTAGGGGTGTTTAAAAAGTTGGAGGCTATTGGGAAGAAAAAGAAGTACAAGCAAGTGGGTGATTGGTCTCGGTCAGTTTCAAACCACCTATACTGGTGTGCGGCATCTAGCGAAGGAGATGGTGAATTGGTTTCTGAGAAATGGCTGTCTATCCTCAACCATATCACTAATGTTCATGAGGGTCATGGAAAGCGATTCCCCAAGTGCTTACATGGTGACCTGGAGGACAGAGATTGGATTAAGAAAGGTAACTGTGTAAGCATGGGTTTGAAAAATAAACAAAAACATTTCTGAGTCCCTGTTTGCAGATATACATTATAAGTTAGTACATTAGTATGAAGCACTATTGATCTAAACTACAAAATTTTATCCTTTTTTCAGGTAGTCTAGCTTTCCAGGAGATGGAAAAGGTTGTTAATGGCAGACTTTTGGTACAAGACATCAAGAAACTCTCCCCTGCAGAGCAAACTTCAGCCCTGGAAACATACCACAATGTTGTGTGTCATTTTGCACCTAAAGCTCTGCATTTTTTTTATGGTGCAATGAAGGCCAGGTAAGTATTTTCTCCTTTTATTCAAAACTCAAATGCTAAAAATGATTTTAAAGATTTTAATCATAAATCACGAACTACGCTGTTCTTCTCTTTTTTTAGAATATACATTGCAGCCCTTCACTTTAAGAAAACTCCAGCCGGGATCAAGCTGTGAACAAAAATGGACAACTGATTTATTCTGTTATATCCCAA